CTATATGTATATTTATTTAAGACTACAATTTAATATTCATTTAGAGACATTATGTAAATTTTTGAAGTTACAATTTATTTACTTACAGAATGGTGGGACCATGACTCGCATGGGAATGAAATTTTGGAAAGTTGTGGCCACTTCAGTGCCACAATGTCTTCTGACTATACTTTCCAGAAATCGATAGATTGCATTATGCAAGGAAAGATGGGACAGTCATATCTCCGCCCTCCCTCTGCCTCCCTATACCCAATAGCTAATGGCAAAGACTGAGAAACCAATTGGTTGCTTTGAAACTGAAGTTGAAATCTGAAATCTCTTAATGGTGATGGATGGTGAGGGAGCAACTCAGATGCCCGCTGGTGAGGTAGGGCTGTCTGAAGAGTGCTGGTGATGGATGGCTAAGTCCTTTTCCTCCTTGGAGGGAAGGAACTCTTGGAACATGCTGGGATGGGAAGCGGAGTACCATTTTTCTCATGGTCCATGACTCCATTTATCCCCTCAGCAAAGTGACAGGCAGTTCTGCAATCCAGCCAAGGAGAAGTAGTAGTTGTTTTCTATGCTCCTTGCCAGCTTTCCACAAGCAAAAGCAGTGGGGAAGCCCACAGGAAGTTGGAAGTCACTCTTGCTCCCACTGTTTTTATGCCCACCAGTGGTCATTCTATTTCTCTGTTTAGGTAAGAAAATATCCCTGAAAGGATGACCCAAAAGGTCATGGATCTAGTGTAAAATAAAAATATCATTATCTTGCTTCAATTCATCTCAAGTTAGTGTGCCTCTAGTGCCTTATCCCTAAAACAAAAACATGGACATTTACCTTTTCCTATGAGAACACCTATTTTAGAGTCTAACTTTTCTCCTGGATCACAGCTTCTTGTAATTAACTGGAGAACAGGAAGAAATGGTCTAATATCACAGAGTCTTCGGGTTTCATCCTCCAGTTCCTCGCGTACTGCTGTTTGGTTCACACAGGAGAACATATATGAATCAATCTCCAGAAGAAGATGAAATAGAGGATAGCTGTGTGCTTGTTTCCATAGTAGCTGCAAATAAGACCAAATTGTGGTAAATGCTCCAGTTGATTCACTGGAAAGTAAATTTTTTCCATTTAAATTCAGCATCAGTTCACTTCCTACTCTTGTATCATAAACAAACATCCTTAAATCAAATCCAGCTGATTCAAGCCTTCAAAGAACAACAAATGCATCAAATTTCAGTGTGTTGGTATATTGAGCTTAAGAGAAAACTAGTTCATTCTACTACAATAAGTATTCTAGAACAGCCTTTCAGGAACAAAAATATATATATTATTTATATTCATCCAGAAAGTTGTAAGGAAGACCTTTTTTCTCCAAGTTGGTTCTTTTGCGATCTTCATGGTAAATTTGTCAAACTATTGAGCTGGGTTGGCTAACTATTAAAGCAAAAATCAATTCCAAGCCAAATGTATAATCTCTATTAATCAATCATTAGGCTTATTTCCATACAAATAGAATAAATGTGCCCGGCCATTTTCAGTACCAAACAGAGATGTACATTTATTATTTAGGTAATGGAAGAGAAAGTTGGCTAAGCAGGCATGGTCCTAAAGATACAGGGGGTTCAGCACAGCACCTCTTGATTCTTCTCTAAGGAGTACATTGGGATTGTTTTCTGTTCAAAATATTATTTATTATATTGTTCCTCTTCTATGACTAGAAGCTAGATAATCAATACTTACTGAATGTTTCATGAAAATAACTGAATTATGCCCCAACAGGGAAAAAAAGATATCTGCTCTTAAAAATGTCAATAACTCATATTAAGAATGTTACTTAGTAAAAATACTAAGTAAAAATACTCAGAAAAGATGTTTCAATTAAAAATATATAAATAACTAAGCAGCATTTTACCTGTTTGATATGACAAATAGTGGCATCACGAGGAACATCTAGACTGATGTAAATTCCAGTGGGAAGCAGGCAATCCACAGAGATTGAGCTATCAGCTGCTATGTGTGAATCTACTGCCCAGATGTCCAGGATATCTGCCATGGCAGGAGGCATTATAGATTTTAAATATCATAACCACATGGACCTAAAAAGAAAAACAAAGATGGAGCAAGTTGAAATTTTTTTCCGTCCCTCAGTTCAGCTTGAAAAAATCAAACAAAAATCTACAGAATTATAAATCAAATCCTAGTAGAAGCAGCCTCATAATGAATGAATTTTATGAACATGTAAGGGTACCCTTGAGATGTGCTCAACTACTGTTGAGTAAACAACCACAAACTTTTCTTGGCAGCAACACAGAAATTGCTTGTCATTGTCTTGGATATTTTTCAACTTTGCCGTTTAGCCTTTAGTCTACTACTCCTTGATGGTCTTCCATTTAACAACTTACAATGCCTGGTCCTGTTTGGCCAGGTGTGCAAAAGACAGTTGCTATACTTGTCTTCTCTTGATAAGGTAAGCTGCTGAAGAATCTGACATGCTTTACTTAGTACTTTGTCCCTGTAATTTCAAGTAATCTAGAATTTGTAAATGAAGAACAAATCCAGGGTCATAAAGGGACTAGCCTTACTATTTAAGTACAGCTGTTTTGGACTCATGTTCACCTGATTCTTTGGCTCCCACTCCATGTATGTATAAAATGAATATATAAAAATAAGGAAAAATATTATACAGTATTGAGCTTAGAGGCGTATTGAGTATATTAAGCTTAATTCAAATACCTAAATGGCTGTTAGGAGAAAAGTGGAACAATATTTGAGGGATGCTAGTTGAATAAAAGGAAAGGAAATCAAACTGGAGTAAATAAGAACTACCCGATTTTGATGTCCTGCCTTGAACTGTGACCTGGGGCAGTTTTCACCCAGTTTACCCATGCAATGAAAAATAATAATTACTGCATGTTCAAAATGCCAGTAAGATATTCTACATATCAAGCCATGACCAGTTCCCCAGACTCTTAACAGTTTCTCCAAAGAAACTACATATGAAAACCCAAGTGAGTTTTCTTCAATATATATGTAAATTGGGAGGAAGCCTACAAAACTAAAATGGGTAGCATCTCCAATAATTTCTAATTATTTTCCAGGGATTCGTAATATGAAAGAAACATATGTCATTAATATAGTATGTTTTGATTCAAACTAGAAATTTGGTTAATTTCTATTTAAAAATTTTCTGGAGCTAGAAAACAGCACAATTTTGTGATTTAAAATACATGTAGTCTTCGACTTTCAAGTAGTTGCTTAGAGATCATATGAAGTTATGACAGTTGCCTCAAAAGCTACTTATGACCCCATTTCAATGTTACTGGCCTGCAGTCATTCATCCTTATGACTGACACAGGAAGTACAGGGATGCTGGAGGGGCTCCCCTGCCTATTTCTCCCCATCTACTTTGAATGAAAAGATAATACTTCTGAGGCAGGAACATTATTTGTAATATTTACATTTAAGTATTTATTTTACAAGAAATTCTAGATATCTTTTAAAATAAAATGAATGCCTACAATTCGGAAATACAAACATTACTGCTGCTTGAGAACTATCCTACAATTCTAATTTTTCAAGTACTCACTCACTCTCTTCTAATGTAGATAGTTGTCTGCAACCACTGACTTCCATTTTTAACTATCCAAATTATAGGTAGTTTTACAGCTGCTCAAACAAGCTAAATAGGTGCAATTATTCAAGCAAGTAACTGAAATGAGCTCCTTAAACTAAACTTAGTTAACTCATCATTTGTCACAGATAGAATTATATGGCAAACTGTATTCAGTTCAAAAGGAAAACCATTCTTTTATTCTCTTCCTCATGGCTTAATTAAAAGAAGAGACAGAAGAATGGATTCAAGCCTCATTCACACAGAAGACAAGCACTTTTCCCAGTCTGGTGCCCTTTAGATATGCTAGAAGAGGCTGCACTAACGTCTCCTTTTGAGCCAAGTTCAGCTCCTGGTGACTTCACAGAAATGTACATGTACAGAAGTGGTCTACTACTATCTTCTACTACTATGAGAAGTTTTTTGACTTTCCAGCTTAGCCTATTCCTTGGTATTCCTTGGAGGTTTTCCATTCAAACACTAACCAGGCCTGCCCCTGCTTACCTTTTAAATCTTGATAAAGTCAGCCAGGCATTACCACTAGCTTAATATTATGTCCATATGCAGCCACTGTGCCCAAGGAATCCAGCTACCAAGACAAATTAAGTATTTAGTGTAAATATAGATATAAGCATACCAGCAAAATCTTATCACATTTTAATATTATATATAACATTAGCATTCCATTTTTATGAAGCTATTTTTATCAATGATTGTAATCCATTTTTATGTGCCATTGAGGGTTGCCTTCAGTGCAGTAGGCAGCTATATAAATTTGATTAATAAATACATCAAAATTGGAAGCTTTTGCCATTGTTCTCTTTTTCCCTTTAAACTGTCCTTGATTAGCTTTTTAATTATCCTATTAACAGTAAGCATTAAATATAGCTCATTAGCTGTAAAAAATATAGCTCATTAGCTGTTAAAAAACCCCCAATAATATAATGCCTTTAGAATAGCTAACATGAGCACCGATTAGAGCAGGGGTGGGCAACCTCGGCTCTTTTATGACTTGTGGACTTCAACTCCCAGAATTCCTGGAATTCTGGGAGTTGAAGTCCACAAGTCATAAAAGAGCCGAGGTTGCCCACCCCTGGATTAGAGGAACAGGAAAGTATTATTTATTATTA